GTATTATGTTGTTATGTTGAAAATATATTATTCTATTATAAAACTTAAAATTAAGATATAAAAATTATATTATTAATAATTAAATGAATATTTTAGAAAATAAGTTAATTCTTATGTATTATTATCTTGAAAATATATTTTTCTATTATAAAATTTAAAATTAATATGTAAAAAATATATACTATTATTTAAGAAGTGAATTTGATGTTTGCTGATTTGTCATATTTTTCATGATTTTAAGTAATTTTGATAATTTATCGTAATTTCTATAATTTTATATATAATTTATTATATATTTAAAACAATTTATGTTAATAGTATCAGATTCTTAGAAAATAAGAGATTTCTTATGTATTAAGTTGTTGTCTTGAAAATATATTTTTGTATTATAAATTTAAAATTAAGATATAAAAAGTTATAGTTATTCTTGTGTATTATGTTGTTATCTTGAAAATATAATTTTATATTATATAACTTAAAAGTAAAATAGAAAAATTATCTTTTATTAATTAAATATAAATTATCACCCACGAAAAGTTATTTAAGAAGTGAATTTGTTGATTCATTAAGTTCTCCATGATTTTAGGTAATTTTAATTATATGTCATAATTTTATAATCTTGTATAATTAAAAAAATTATCATATTATATTTTTATAAAATAAATAACTTATGCATTATATTGTTATCTTTAAAATATGTTTTCTATTATAAAATTAAAATTAAGATATAAAAATTACAATTAAATATAAATTAAGTAAAACATTTTGTATAAATATTATAATTAAATATAAATCAAGCAAAATAATTATAGAAATATATTCTTTTAAGTATTTCTGAAGTTTGAGTTTTGTCATTAATAATTATTTGATGTTTGATTTTTACTTTTTGAAAACATAAATAATAACTTATTATAATGATTTTTAAATTAATGAATCATCAACTAATAAATATTTATAAGAGAATTATGCCTGCAAGTGCGCGCAAAACACCTAGTTAAAAATATTAGAACTATCAAAACTCCATAAACCAACAGTATAAATATAATATATTGTATAGTTAATACTTTTTATATTTTAATTATGTATCATATTTATTAACATTATTTTTAAATTTATATATTAAATATATTAAATTAGATTCTTGAACCAAGTTTGACCGGATAAAACCATATTGAACCAAATTTGACACAGTTAAACCAAATAATTATCCGTTCAGCTTTCATTCCGGTTTTAAAACATTGTGGAAACCCAATATAATGAAAAATTCTATAAATAAATATATATGTATGTGTATTAAAAATACCTCTGGAATATACTAAATATATTTATAAGATATTGGATATATTTGTATCTCAATCTTTAATTATTCCTGAAAACTAGATTTGTATTCCTCTATATATTTGTTTATACTGGATAAAAACAACATCAATTTATCTCTTCTGTTTTTTCGTTCACAATGGAAGATAAGATATATATATATGGGCTAATATACCACTTTCGTTAGAAAACTAAGAAAATACCCATAAGCCAAAAAAATTACTTGGGCCGTACACTTTTACCTCCCCCTTTCCGGTATTACCCCTATAGTCTTAAAATCTACTGCGAAAAAATAAAAAGTGGCGAATCGGCGTGATCTTCAGACGTACAAACTAAGACTATTAATCTGTCATAGCTTTGCGGCTATTATCATCTCTAGGGACCGATTTTCGTAGGTTATTGTGTGAAGTACAGATGAAACGCTGCAAAATCCAGAGGATAAATCAATGGATCGTATAATGGGGGATTTATGAGTTATCCAAAAATTTGAGAGTTTTTGTTTGTATATTTAATGGAGTCCAGAGGAACTATTCATGTCAATCATGACTGATCTACCTTTGACAAGGATGTTGGAGACTATCGGCAATGATTTGGTTGCCCGCTATATGTTTCAGAGGCACGAGGACTACAGTGTTATTCATTCCTCAAAGAGAGTGGTAGTCTCTAATGGAAGGTCTTACCGTGCTAATAATGAACTTAACCTCGAAGAACATGCTTTGCAGGCTAATGGTGGTGTTGGGGGGTTTTCTGATGGAAAAAGGTTCTGGGAAGCAATGTTGAGCCAATGCTTTCTGTCTTCAAGCTAGCAGTTCTTAATAACGTGTGTGCTGAGGGAGATTTTCTTTGGGAGACAAAGACGCTTTAGGTATAATGAGAAGTGAGCTTGGGGTTTTGATGCAGAGAAGTGATGGGTCAGAGTCATCAACAAATTCATAGCCTAGTCATGTGGATCAGGTGCCTCATTTGTTTGAGGTAGGCATAATAGGCTTGGGGGAAAAAACCATAATTGGCGCCATCAGTTCCTCGCACAGCATTGGCAATTGATAAGTGTTATAACTCTTTTTTTTGTTAAAACATTTCTGGGGGAAGAACTAGAATTGCATGTATAACACTTTTTTTATATGTATTATATGCTTTATGTTAGCTGCTACATCAAATACTTGCCACCTAACTTTTGTATTAAATTCTACTATTACAGTGGAGCCACATGCAACGCTAAAGACAGCTCCGTTGCTTGAGTACCTTAGGAAAGAGAAAGAGAAGGTGGTTAATGAAGAGTTAGGGGAGAAGAAGCGCATGAATGGTAGTGGCTGTTAATGTCAAACTCAAACTTCCCGGATCCTTTTCCCGTTGCAGGCACATGCACAACCGATGTAGGTAGGGTTAATAATAATCTTAAAGACGTAATTATGTTATTAACGGGGTACTAGTAAACACTAACGGTTAATAATAATCTTAAAGACGTAATTATGTTATTAACGGGGTACTAGTAAACACTAACGGTTAATAATAATCTTAAAGACGTAATTATGTTATTAACGGGGTACTAGTAAACACTAACGGTTAGTATATGATGTGACAAATACATAGGACAAGAGGGGGAAATCATATGTTTGTGGGTCAGGTTTTCATTGATCGAGCGGCTTTCAGGACTCACATGTCTCTCTACCCTTTGGCCAACAAGTTTCGATTCTTATACCGTTGCTCAGAGCCTAGTAAAATAGTTAATGTGAGGATTTAACTGTGAACTTGTTTGTTAACATCTATACATACCACTGAAAGATCGTATATGTATAACACTATGATTGGTAGTTGCAAATCAGCCATCTACAACGTAAATAATCTGGAACATCACTATGGTTGATTTGTAATTTTACGTTAATCTTGTACCAATAAGAGATCATATATGTATAAGACTACGAATTACCGGCAAACATAATACATTAACTGAAACTAACATGTGTTCTTTGTTGATGTTAGAGACCATATGCATTTTTTTAACCAAAATTTAATCAGTTAAAACCATTGTTGTACCATCTAACATGCTATGTATCAAAAAAACATTATCAAAAACATCATCCTTGATCTTTGGGTGGACCAGCCATTGGTTTGCAATATGGTTACGGTCGCCAACATCGCCAGACTCCGTTTCAAACGCATCAACTCTGTCTGCATAATACAAGCAACTATTAGCAGGGAATTATACTTTTGGAGTTTTGACTAACATACACTAATAATATCAACAATACTTTATCTCTCAATAGTATTAGAAAGAGGTTATTATTATTATTAGCAGCTACCAGGCATCGTAAATCTTACTTCAGATAGAAGCAGCCATGGATATCATTACTTCCTACAAATAACATTAACAATGCTTTGGCTCTCAATGGTATTGTTTGATATAATATATACTTTTAAGCGTTACCAATAATATTATCGGTTAAGTTTATACTTAGTTACTAATATCAAAGGTATAGTTTACTAAACTTTGTTTTCATGTATTAGAAAGGGGCGATTATTAGTAGCAACTACCAGACATCGTACATGTTACTTCAGTTAGAAGCCTCCATAAATACTCTAACCCTTTAACAAATTTGCTTTAAAGCTAATCTAGATTGTTAGCAAGAAAGAATGTTAATAACACAAACAAAATTAGATAGATAGTATGTATCTGAAAGACTGAAACATTGCTAACTGTTTACCTGGAAGAGACAAGGAATCTGATCTAGCATTTTTCTTCACTCCGATAATACAGCCCATGACAAGCACTAAATGACCAAAAATCCCAGAAAATGAAAGGTCCTCTGCTTGAGAAATGATCTTTCCAAACATTGTCTTCTTCATAAACTCAACCTCTTCGGGATCTAAGGCTTCTAAAATAGACTCAATCCTCTTCAATTTGTGGTAAGTGTTTACCCTCTCTCCGGCGGGTTCTTCACCTGCTGCAAATTGTGAGGTTTCAACAAAAGATAGCAATTGCTTGATAGAAACGTTATGTTTTTCGAATTAAAGTTTCAATGAGAGAATATAGAGATTTTAGAGACTTTCTCTTCAGAAAATTGTGGTGGGTTAAATCTAAATTTTTATTTGAAAGGTTAAAGGTAAACGAAACTGAAAAAGTGACTTTTCGTTTGAAGAAATGAGGAGAGAGGCATAGAAACATGAGCTCTAGAAACATTTAGTGATATGCCGTGTAATACAGTGTGCCAATTAAAATCTACTGACACAATAATGAAAAATATCGATAGGTTAAGAAGGGGTAAAATGGTATAAAAAATAATTGGTCCAATAGGGTGGTATGGCTTTAATTAGAGATGTTTTCGTGTATATGGGTGCTAATTACTCTAAAAACAACATCAATTTATCTCTTCTGTTTTTTCGTTCACAATGGAAGATAAGATATATATATATACAGTTCTAGTTTCTTAAAGTATATAGTTCAGCTGTTCCAATTTCAATAGCTATATGAAATATTTAAAAGAAAAAATTCTAACTAAGATTTTTTAGATTAATAATTAAAGTAGATAAACAAGATAACTTCCTGCAGATTTGCTTGAGAATCTTTTATCGACAGGCTGAAGATTACATCATTAAAAACAAACATAAATATTAAAAATCAAGAAATTTCATATATATGCTAAACCCTAACTAACTTAATATTTCCATAGTGTTAAACTTCTACCATGGCAACTTCACAATGTACATCTTGTGGCCTCATTCTCCAACATTGCCGGTGTCACCAAACATCCACCACCGTATCCAGCAGCTCCATCGATGTTACTCCAGCTTGTTGCTGTGCCTGCTACTCCAGTTTGACTATCGTCTTCTTCTCTGTCTTTATATTATTCTCAGGAAAACTATTTGCTCGCATACCTGGTTGTTACTTAGACCTATTTGTCAGCTCCGTCACCGTCTCAAACTTAAACACAAACACAAACATCTCAACGGCTGATTGGAGAATCGGTTTGGTTGCGACGAGTCCGGTCACCCGCTGCAAAATATCTTTTCGTACAAGCAAGTCACGTCTCCTGCGTGGAGATGACGAGGTTGTCTCCGAGTCAGGTCCGTGGCTGGATGGCTATGGACAGCTTGTTCCCTCAGACAATAGGGATGAACCGGTCATAAGCGTCGATTTCAAAGGGGTTGCTATGCGGGGAGATGTCGGCAACCTGGTTAGGGGTTATAAGGTGGAGATTGCCGTCCTTGTGAAGATATATCATGGGCATGGTCCCTTGATGGTGATGTGCGGCGATTTACCGGTGAAATTAACGGCTGAACCGGAGGGGAATGTGATTGGGTCGTTGCTTGGAAATATGAAACGATGTGAATATGTCTTAGGAGATAACTTGGATACAGGGCATGCCTTGAGATATTGGGACTCTCTTTGAAAATAACTTGGAATTTTTTCTTTTTCAAATTTTGTTGGGTTTTTTAAAAATAAATTTGAGAACTTATTTCAGTGTAAGTAATTTTTTTCTAATGTTTCAAATTATGTTTGGTCCAGACCGGCTCTACTTAGATATTCCTTTTTAGATGTTAAACTACATATCGTCGCGATCATGAATCTTTGATCTTTATCTAAACGTTAATGGCTTTATTTTACTTGTGTTTTAGTCGTGGCTTATCAATTATCATTATTATTCTTTTCCAGTTAAAGATGTTTATTGATTACTATCAATGATTATAATGTTTGACAAGAAAGACAGACAAGAATGGAACAATCTCCAATTTTCAGGTTCGACTTGATGTGCTTTAACAGTTTAAACCTATGAATTAATTGATATTGAAACATATCTAAAGCAATATTCATATATATGACGCTTATACTTTATGTTTGCTCTATTAGAACTTTATAACAATGTTTTTGTGTTCGATTTGAAATACTTTTTTTTGTGTTGGTCAAAAGATTTTGATATACTTTATACTATGAATTAACTGATACTGAAACATATCTAAAGCATTAATAAACACAAATATTACATGCGGGGTTGCGCATATGTCATAACAAGTCGTAGCACAAAGCCTATATGTATAAAAAATAACATGTAACATGCATTTTGTAGAAAGATTTGAATAATAATGATTACATAGAATCTTCCGGTATGGTGATTCAGCTCTACGGAGTTGACTATTGAGTGTGGACTCTTCCTAAAATTAGTATAGCCTTTTGCTGAAAAAAGTCATTGGGGCAAGTGGCAATAACACCAACAAGTAGATATGCTTCTCCGAGTCCCTCAATTTCTACAGAATACGTGCGTTAATTAAGCTTATTAGTTATTTAACCTTTATACGCTGTGAGAGAAAAATATCATATGTAAAATAGCAATTCAACAACTAAAATTTACAATGATTTGTTTAGAAGTTTGTTATACCGCTGAAAAAAAAACTGATTATATGATTTTCAGTTATCGAAACAAGATTTTCTTTAACTAATTCAATTATAATTATAGTTATGATATTCTACGAAATATCATAACAAACTTCTTTATTCACGCAGGCATTTTATGAAATTTAAAAAGTTATTAATTCTTAGATAGTCTTATAATTAATGATAAAATAACAACATCAACATTAATCTTCTCTCTAAAACCAACAAAAAGAATATGGAGTCGCAAACCACCTCCGGAAATCCAACGCCCTCCGACACTCGTCGTTGGTGGTGGTCACGACCAATAACTACTCTGGATTTAAGTGATGATCATGACCCCACTATCAAGGAATCTGCGATTTTCATAGCACCCTTTCTCGCTGCCTTTTCCACCACCTTCACCATATACTTGATCTTGTTAATTATCGACAAAGCTCACTCTCGGTGTCACGCCAAATTCTCCATCCAATCCATCACCGTCTCTCCCTCTTTCTCTTCCTCCACGTGTCACGTCGACTTCCTCGTAAAAAACCCTAACTCGAGATATTCTATCTATTACGACGTTGGTGATGCTTCGGTGAGGTTCGGTAATCTAACCATCGATGTTTTTAACATCATTCCGAAACGTAACTATAGAGATCACACTGCTTTCTCGTTGGACTTCGTTGCTGGAGAGGTAAATGGAACCGACGTTGTTTCCCAAGAGCTTTACATCAAACTTAGGGGGAAGCACAAGCGTTATGTAGCTTCTACTGAAGCTGGACATTTTGATGTAAGATGTCAAAACTTGACCCGAAGCCATGAAAACATTGAGAAGATTAAATGTTATTCCTTTTTTACACGTTTGAAGAAGCTTGTTTATTAAGTTGAGCTTTTAGTTTCTTCATCTTCATGTTTTATTTTATTTTTCCGATTACTCTATGAAGTGTTATTTGTTCTTCTTCGATACACTCTATGATGTCTGCGTATAAAATGTTTGATTTCTAAGCTAAATAAGTGAGAGTCTAAATTTTGCTTTTTTAAGCTCGATATAAATGGGAAAATAAAAGAGATTTAATTTACTATACAACCAAAAACTATATATAATATAGAGTATAACTTTTAATATTTTATATAAAGCAAAAACTCGTTTTAAAAGTGAACAAATTAAAGTGATCAAGTAAAACTCATTTCTATTTTCATTACATACATAAGCAATTGTCATTCCATTTTTCTATGCATATGACTTATATCTTGATTATTACATCAACATATAAATACTATGCGAGTCTCTATTGTATGCGGGAAATATAATTTGATCTTTGTTTTATTTTATAGGTTTTATAAACAAAAAAACAAAAAGCGATAAAGTACATGATGAGAAATGTTTAAAAACTTGTAGTTTTAGGTATGTGTCTTCCAAATATAAACATATGAAATTCAATTAGACATTAATAAATATAAACAACTACAATGGTAGAGTAATACACTGGAAAATATGAAGGAAAATATAACAAATAGCATGACCATCTTTTTTATTACATTGATAATTTATATGTTTTCGAGTTATTTTACATAAAATTCCATTAATATACACGGTTGTAATATCCTAGATCACTTCCGATTTCAGTGTTCCCAAGAAAAGCAGTTTGGATTTCCTTTTAATCATTTCATGTTAGCTTTCCGTAAAATATTTGTATAAAAATAACAAACTAAATATTTCTTATATTTAATAATTAAATTAGATAAACAACAACTTCCCACAGATTTGCTTGAGGATCTTTTCTCAACAAAAGAAATCTTGCGACACTGAAAATATATTTAAAAAGTCAAACATTTCATGTACTGATCAAAACCTTAACCAAGTTATTATTTTCTTAGACCTTCAAAATCAACATGGCAATTAATCAATGTACCTCTTGTGGTCGCACTCTCCAGCATTGCCAATGTCGCCGTCAAGCACGCACCATACGACCATATCATCCGCGGCCCTTCGAGATTACTCCACTTTGTTACTGCTCTTGCTACTCATGTTGGACTATTGTATTCGTCTTTGTCTTTCTCTTTTTGACAGGAAAAATATTCGGCGAAGGTGGTTGTTACTTGGAGCTCTTTGCCCATTCTGTCTCCGTCTCAAACACAAACGTAAACGCAAACATCTCAACCGCTGATTGGAGAATCGGTTTGGTTGCGTGGAGTCCTGTCACCAGCTGCAAATTCTCTTTCCATACAATCAAGTCTCGTCTCCTGCGTGGAAAAGAGGTTTTGTCCGAGACAAGTCCGTCCTTGGATGGTTTCGGTCGGGTTGTTACCACAGACAAGCTGACGGATGGACCGGTCATAAATGTCGATTTTAAAGGGGTTGTAACGCCGGGAAATATTATTGGTGACGTGGTTAGGGGTTATCGGGTAGAGATTTCTACCGGAGTGGATGTTGGAGATGGTTTCTTGATGGTGTTGTGCGGCGATCTACCGGTGAAATTTACGGCGGATCCGGCGGGAAATGTGATTGGATCGTTACTAGGGAATATGAAACGGTGTGACTATGTATACGAAGAAAACCTGAATATTCGTGTTTAGATCTTATACTCTTAATCCTCCGCGATTATGAATCTTTGTTCTCTATCTTTTCAAGTTAATGGATTTATGTTATTTTATATTTTTATTTGTAGTTTAGTAATCCATTGATTATATAAGATGGCATTAAGAATGTTTTCTCTAGAATACAAGGATTGATTGGTTATGACTCTAGCTTTAAAATATTAACTATAGAAAAAATGCTGTAGTTTTTTGTTGTAACTTTAGATTTTATTGCTGTAGATTATATGGAAAGTTCAAAAAAATTGCTTTGAATATTTGGCTGTAGAAATCACTTGTACAGCTATATATTATCTCAAGAACTGTGATTTTTACAAGATCATTAAAGATTAATTGCTGTGAATTTGATGTTTTAGAAATACATGGTGCTTTGGAGAGCATCTATAGCCATTACCAATCACACTCACAGATCCCATGGTTTCGATAAAGTTAGGTTTTCACTAATCTTGTCTGGCTTAGTTGGATTTAAATACAATAACACAACTAAATGATACCGCTCTATTGTTGTTGTTGACGTTTGTGCAATTTCGTTAATACCTCATCATAGAACATCTCAATAGTTTCATTTTCGTTTTTCATTAAATAAAGCACAAATCTCTAAAATGTCTTGCTAAAGATCAATAAAAACAATAATAAAAAATTCAAAATAATAAGAAGAAGAAAAAAGACTCAAAAGATAAACCCTGCTGGAAGCGTCATAATTAAGTTTCTTTAGCAAAAGTCCTTCAACTTTTTGAAAGACGAATGGCATTTAATCGTCTCATAACCAAGAATAAGATTCTGACAAGTTATATAAATATGTCCATAATCATCACCTTCCGCATAAAACTGTTTCTTCCTCGCACTAAGTTTCAACTCCAAATCCAAAACCCTTGAAAAAGCTGCAACGACGTCGTCGGTTTGATTACCCACCGTAGCTAAATCGACCGAGAAACTCGTGCGGACACGCGAAAGACGCGTGTGTGATGTCTTCAAAACCACGGTGTTTAAAAACCCTAACGTGGCATACACGCCATCGTCGTCGTAGTGGACAAGGCACCTCGAGCTTGGGTGGTTCACGAGAAAATCGACGTGCCACGTGGCGGCGGGGGAAGAAGAGGGAGAAACGGAGATAGATTCCACGTAGAAAGTGACGTTGCAGTGAAGAACTCTGGTGGGGAAGAACTCGATGATAGTGAAGACGGTGGCGTAAAAGAGCAAGCTGGTCATGAGGCCGAGAAGAAAGACATTAATGGCTGAGTTTTGTTCTTTTGTGAGTTTCTCATGACGAACAAATAACGACTTTAGTTGATTCCTAGTGCTCAGCCGCAAAGGAGGAGGAGGAGGATCAGTTTCTCCGGTCACTATCTCCGCCAAGGTAACAGCCATTTGCTTTCTTTCTTTGAGGGTTGGGAGAATAGGACAAATGATTTAATGGGATCTTAAAAAAATCTCAAGTCATTAAAATTTGCATTATAAGTAGGAAATGGTAGGCTATATTAAAATTTAATCAAAAAATATTTTTTTTTTTAAACAACATAGTTCTGTTTTCACTTTTTATTTATTTTGTGGATAATATAATTTGTTATGATTTTCGGGAGAATTTCACGAGAGACAGAATCATAGTTGAACTAACTTCCATATAGCAATTTTTATCTCTTACTTTGCTAGATTTTTTGAATTAAATACATGCACTTTTAATTGTTTTTAATAATCTATACTAATATACGGATCTAAACTGAATATAAGAAAATACAAAAAAAAAAAATCTTTAAATAACTCGTAGAGATGTGAATATCACATTTAAAAAAAAATCACAAACTTATAGCTAGAAGTTTTAATTAGAAAATAAGCATTTTTCATTAATTGTTTAACTAAAATGGCAAGGGCTATTTGTTCCTCTTGTGGCTTGCGGAGCCAGCGCTGCCAATGTCACCCGGAAGTTTCAACCGCCGGAAACGCAAACGTTGATAACGGAGAAAGAGCATCGACCAAGCTTACTCGAGCCTCCTTTTGGACTATCTACCTCGTCACAGCTACCGCAGTCTCACTATGCTTTCTTCTCATGTTCTATTTGATTGGTTTCCGTAGCCTGAAATCGAGTTGTCACTTGGAGGTGTTTGTCGACTCATTCTCCATCTCAAACGTTTCAAACGCAACTGCAGATTGGAACGTCAGTTTTGTCACGAGGAGCCCTGGTAACGGCTGCAAAATCTCTCTCCATATGATTAAATCGCGACTCCTCCGCGGTGGCAACCTTATCTCCAAGTCACTGAACACTCCTGATTATTTCGGGGAACTTGTCACCGGACAAATGAACGAACCGCTTTCGTATGCCGTTTTCGATACGGTTGAAACGCCCAAGGGAAACGGTGGCGGTGTGGTATGGGATCTTCGGGTCTATGTGGTATCACTAGTTAGGAATGTCGGGTTGCACGACTACAGTTGTTTGGAATCTCCTGGTTACTTGCACGTGAATTGCGACGGTATACTGGTGGATTTTACAATGGATTCAGCTGGAAATGTTAAGGGATCGTTGCTCGGACATATGAGGCCGTGTGAGTATTTGTTACGGAATAATTATACGGACACAACCTTTTAGAACTTGTTTTTTCTTTCTCGCTTCATCAGTCTATTTTCCTTTTACGAGTTCTTTGGCATCATTTTACGAATTCTCTTGGCTTTGATTAGGGTTTAGTGGTTTTGTTTTCTTCGTTAAAAAAAAAAAAATGTTTGGATATCCATAATTATTATTTTAATTAGTTAAGATGAGATCAAACACATGGTTATGTTATAGCTTTTTATTACGCCAATTTACATCCAATGCACCAAATATTTGGTACTTGCATGTGAGCTATGTAAAGTGGATGTGAATTAATGAACAATCACATTTTACACCATGAATAATTATTTCCATATGTATGAATCTAAAGGTTCCATAAATCATTCCAATTTTTTTTTATCGATCTACTTTCATATTAAGGATAATAATTAACAAATAATGTGATAGTCTGTTTTTAAGTAGTATATATATATATATATATATATTGGTCAACTACATTTTTATAATTTGTTTGAAATATCATATAAAGTTGAAATTTTATTGGTAATAGTTCAAAAGAGGAAACCATATATTGTTATGCGATCTATAATGAATGTAAATATGAAATTTCAATCATCTAGCTACAAAAATTGCTAAAGAGAGCAATTTTGTTAAAACATATATTTTATATGATACATCAGATCATTTGTTTCTTAATTCCTTACCAAAACTAAAGAGAAACGATATATATGTCGCTGCAAAAGAAGATTCGTCTCTCATCTCCAAAGTGCTTTCTCTTGATAATTGTTTATTTGGTACTCCAAAATTGTGGTAAATTATTTCGGTAACTGATGATGGATTAAAAACAGCTTTTCCGAATTTCTCACAAAGTTAAAGTAACCATATATTTAAAAAGAGTCCAGACTTTAGGTTTATGAAAATTTAATACTATTGTTACAAATGGAAACATAGGATTACTTAATAAATTGTTTCCAGAAAAGAATTGATTGAAAATTACGTACATTTATTTACATTAACATTAACCACAAAGGCTCCATTTCACAAAATAAGTACCCCTCAAAAAAACTCCATTACGGCTTATTCCAATCTCTTTACCCAATCACCCACCCACCAAACAAACAACTCTCTCTCTAACCAAAACGTTGAACGCAACCAAACGCTACAATGACGACGGAAAAAGAGTGCGAGTTCGACTACCGCAAATATGCGAAGGCGGCAACGAGCCGCATAGTGTACGGATTTCTAGTCCTGGTCGCTATAGTTGCGTTTGTGATTTTCTTGGTGTGTGCTATACTTCACCCGCACAAACCGAGTTTTATCCTACAAGACGTTACCATTTACCAGTTCAACATCTCACAGCCTAATTTACTCAGTTCAAATCTCCAAGTCACTCTATCTTCTCGCAACCCAAACGACAAGATCGGAGTTTTCTATGACCGCCTCGACATCTATGCCTCTTACCGCAACCAAGAGGTAGTGTCTTGCATTTTTATGCAATCCTCTGTGTGTTGTATTATCCATCTATTGTGTTTGTCCCAAAGATTTTGTGGAATATATAGGCAATAAATAAACGTTTTAATAATTTTTAAAGAAATTTATATTTACGATTATTTTAAAATTTTTGACTTTTGGGAAATATTTTAGTTGCCTATGCTCAGAATCGGTTGTTTATGGACCAGCAAAATGTATTATATTTCAGTTTTTAAAAAATGTATTACATTTGACGTTAATCCGAAAAACATAACATATCTTAAAGTATGTTTTATTAACTAGGTGACTTTGGCGAATCTATTGCCGGAAACGTATCAAGGACATCTGGAAGTGACAGTGTGGTCGCCGGTTCTGATTGGATCCGCCGTGCCAGTGGAGCCTTACCTGTCTCCAGCACTGAACGAGGACATAAACGCCGGGATGGTACTTCTAAACATCAAGATCGACGGTTGCGTTAAGTGGAAAGTGGGCTCGTGGGTATCTGGATGTTATCGGCTCCTCGTTAACTGTCCGGCCTTCATTCCCTTCTCCGGCCAGTTAGTTGGCGGCGGTCCGGCGATCAAGGACCAGCTTGCTCAGCAATGTGCTGTTGACGTATGAGAAAGGACGAGGAATAATTTTTTTAGACGAATAAAGGAGATAAAGGTATGTTAGAGAACTTTGTTGTCGATGTTGATAAGAAAAAAAGAGAGAACTTTGTTGTTAATTATTCATTTAAGATTGTTCAAACAATGATTATTTTATTAAATTTTGATAATTTTAAACAATATACTTTCAAATTTATAACCCGGTTTTAGCATATTCATAATATTTTTAGTTGACAAAAATATAAAAATAAATAATCACATGGATTTTATCATTAATTAGGTGACATTTTGATCTGCAGCCTTGCACACCAGAAATGCCAGGATTAGGCAACGCTTAGAAGGGTGGTTTTATTTTCTAGATGGATATAAGAGACACATGAAAACGACTATGTAGCTACTGTCTTTTTGGAATGAAAAAATAAATAAAAAGAAAATATTTAGGTAAAATAGTAATCTAAAGCTCATGAAGCATAGTAACAATATTCTCTAATATATTGTATTGGATTAGAAAAATGGTGTTGTACCAAAGGTTTCTTTTTTGGATCATGTTTCGTGGAAAACAAAATCATAGAGAGTTTACTTGTACTAATTAACTAGGATAAGGCGCAAGGTGAATATATGTAACTAAAATATAAAATTTTAGTATTGACAAATTTAAAATTTATATATGATTGTTTTTATATGTACTATGAAACAACCCCGCGCATTCACGCGGGTATATAAGTTCTTTAATAAAAATTTATTTTATTAATAGTATTAATAAATTATATGTTTCTGATAATTATATTTATTTTTACTTATTCAAATTATTTAATTTCATTTATCTCACATATTTATTAATATTTTTATCATACACAAAAAATTTGAGATATACTGTATAAAAACATATTATATATTACATGATAGAAATAGGATGTCTGACTAAAATTCTTTAAGGTAAACATGATTTAAATGTATAAGACCATCTCTCTCTCTTCATTTTCTTTTTGTTTTTGAAACACTCTTTCTCAAGCTGAAGTTTTTTATCTATTAAAAGAATGTGTCATTCAAAAATTAAAAAGAATTCGAAAAGATGCATCATTTAGAAATTAGAAGATACGTGTGAAAAAAATGCATCTTTGAAAAAATTAAAAGAGATGGGTAAATGGATGGGTAGGAAGAGGATATGTACTTTGCTAAAACAGTTTAATGGTTTTTTACACTCTCACTCAAGTGTTTCTCCATTTTTTTCTCCTAAAACACTTTTTCTCAAGCGGAGGATTGTAAAATAAAAAGGTGCATCAGAAATTAAAAAAAATTATGTGAAAATATGCTTTGTTCAAAAAAAAGAAAAAAAGACATGTAAAACTATGATGTCATTCAGAAATTAAAAGGACTATGTCAAAGCATACATTCAAAATTTTAAAAAGCGTTTTTTTGTCATCAAACAAACAGATTCATATAGATTATGCGAACCAAACTGGTAACTCTGCATCCATGTGAACAATAAAGGACGATTGTTTTCTGGCACTGCGTGCTAGAGAATCCGCCCGGGAATTCTGCGTTCGTGGTACATAGATGATCTCTGAGCTGTGAAAACTATCTTTCAGCGTCTTGATATCCTCCAAATAAGTTGCAAACGACGACTATTCTTCTGGTTCCAACACCATCTTCACCAGCTGAGAACAATCCGTTGCAAAAATGACATGATACTGACGCAAATTTCTCATACATTCCATTGCCCAAATTAGCGCCTCCACCTCGAATGGAGGGGCAATAGGCTTGCCCTGACGTTTCTTGCTCCCATTAATCCATGAAAACCTTCTAGTGTGCTATACCATCCTTGTCCAGAGAACTCTTCCTTAATTTTTCATGAACCATCTGTAAAACACCACCGGCCTGGAATGGGCAGGATATCCCCGCCCTGACTCTGAGACGAACCTCTCTGTGTCTGTGCCAACTGAGCTTCACTCCATAGAATCGATTCTGTTTCCGCAAGTTTCAATATATCTCTTGGATCAATTTCCAAATTACTAAATGTCATGTTATTTCTGGCTTTCCAAAGGTACCATAATATCCATGTGAAGTGATGATTGTCCATTTTCGGGAGTACCTTCCAAAATAAGTAATCCATATTTGTGAACAAATAATTGATAGGAAAAACATCTGGATTAGATGGTATCCTTGATAATGCCCAAACATGGCGTGCTGGGGGGCATTCAAAGAAAACATGATTAATCGACTCCTCATCTGCTCCACACCTGACACAACAAATATCTCCTTGCATTCCTCGTGTTTTTAGGTTTTTTTTAACCGCTATGCATCCCGATATCAGCTTCAATAAAAATGCTTTGTCTTTGGAGGGCATCGTACCTTTCAACAATGTGCCTTCAATGGGTCAACCGTGGGTCCCATCATTACTGGTAATCTTTTATTATCGGGATAAATCTGTTCTACTTGGTAGCCCGACCTCACCGTATATTTTCCGTTATGTGTAAAATGCCATCCATCTCTATCCTCCATCTGAGACCTACTCAATGGTATACTCTCTATTATTTTCGCATCTGTAGAGTTCACCAAGGCCCGAATTCCTGCATATTCCAGCTCCGCAAGGTCGCGTGAATGAGCGAATCCACTGTAAGTATCGGGTAAAAATCATGTAGATTCACTTTAAAAAGCGTTTAAAAGTGCATCGGAGAAGGATATATCATTTACCAAACACTTTGATTATGTCTATATCTTATAAAAGAAAAAATCTTTCCATCAGTAAAAAAACTGTAATAAACTCAACTCTATATTGAACTTTTTATTTTCTTATAAAAAAGGTGACACCAGCAGATAAAAATAATAATTATAAAACTGAATAATGAAATATACTGAGTTATTGAGTTAATTAATAAAGTACTTTATATCACTTAAATGTAAATATGATTTATAGTTTATTAATAAATTAATGAGAATTTATTATTTTAATATGTTTTAAGAAAAATAAGAACACTACAATTTATACATTTAAATAAATATATTCATTCTGTTTTATTATAAGTGTCATTTTTGAATTGTGTACACGGATTAAGAAAAAAATGAATTTTGCATATTTTCTATATAAAAACACAATTTTCTATACACCTAACCATATTTTAACCAATAGAAAACAACTTACATAATAAAATTAATAAATTTTGCATTGAAAACCGAAAACGGCACTTATTTTGTAACGGAAAAATTTCTCTACAATGACACTTAATATGAAACGGAGGGAATACATATTAAGATACACATAACCATAAATATATAAAATAAAATAATTTATTATGAAAATTGATAAAATAGCGAAATGTAATTTTTGATAAATATTACATTTATACTCTAAAGCTTAAATTTTTTATAAATAATAAAATCTGAATTCTTACTTAAAAAGTAAATTCTTCTATTAAAATAATAGGTTTTTACACGACAACTGACTGGATCTTTAACAATTCCAAACTCAGAAGCATAGAAAAATACATCAGTACATATGAACATTATTCTACGTGAGATGATTTTTGAATTTGTAATCTACTGATTTGTAACTTAAAAATATGGAATTCTCATAGAAACTTACCGCTGGAATCTCCCCACTTTTTCTTAAACATATCCACTCTTTAGTAATAATATTTCCCTCTTAAATTACCTTTCATATGCAACTTCCCATCTGTGTCAACCTTTTTCAAACCCATAAAACGATGCATGACAATGGAACATACATCAACCACACTGAGTTACATGCATTCCAATGGTGAAAAGAAATTGGCATAAAAGAGTTTTAGAAAGAAGTATAGAGTATCTATTCTATTAAAACTGAATCATGACTAGATGATATTTATTCGATCCAATTGTTTACAATCCACATTTTTTAGTAATTAATTGACAGTATTTAACATATATATACCTATAAACACGTTTAATACGATTGTAACTACTATATTGTAACTGCTACTTTACTTGCAATTTAAACTAGGGCTGGGCAAAAAACCCGGATCCGAGAAACCGAACCGAACCCGATCCGAAAAAGTAGTATCGAACCCGAATTGAAATTGATTCAATATCCGAATGGATTCAATATTTTGGTATTTAAAGAACCGAAACCGAATCCGACCCGAACCGAAATATTTCGGGTACCCGAATATATCCGAAAGAGATTTATATACCTATATATATTAATTATTTTTAGATTTAATATATATAAAAAATATTCAATATATATAAAATACCTTGAAGTTGTTCAAAATACTTAGAAATATATGTAAATAGTCAAACATACATGACTAAAATTGCTAAAATACACTCAAAACATCAAAAATACTTAAAAAAATTATTCATTCAAAATCCAAATATTCAAATCTAACTAATTTATATGTTAATTTTAGGTATTTTGACTTATGTTATTCAATTATTTGTAATATATTATTTTGTTAATAGATTTTTAGAAATTTAAAGTATATAATCAATTTTAAAATTTTTATTAATAATTTAAATGGGTTATCCGAACCCGAACCGAACCCGCAAAGATCCAAACCGAACCCGAACCGAAATTTAGAAATATCCGAATGGGGCTAAAATTTGTGAACCCGAAAACCCGAAACCCGAATAGATCTGAACCGAACCCGAATGGGTACCCGAACGCCCACCCCTAATTTAAACTATGCGGGACTCACTTTTCTCTATAGGTGGAAACTGCACGATTGACTTTAACTTGACTTCAATGTGAGTGAATATGATTCATATAACTAACTTATGTAGGTATGTTAATACAAATTTGCCTAGGTTTAACCACAATTTAATATCTATGATTTAAAAATAAGTAATCATATTTTTATTTACAAAATTCTTTCTGATTGCAATACCACACAACCATGACTCAAAGAAAAACTAATAGCCCTTGGTATACCGCCATGTTTCTACAGCTATAGCACATATTATTAGATTGATCAGTTTCAATTTTTTTTTTTTTTTACAATTTTTCTGTTTTCTCGTCATTTATCTCCCTTTAACGTTTAGTGATTTAAAGAAAATCATTCCACTCTTTCAGAAAGAAAA